TAATACCTAAAGCATTTAAAACTCCATTTTCAATTGGTTACTTGTTGTGATTTGTCTATGTAGTGAGTTTTATTTATCCAAATTAGGTAACACTGAATTGGACAGCTTTATAACCTTTTATAAAGTAAAAATTGAATGACAAGAACAGATAAGTCTTGAAAGTGGATGTTTATGCTTACTAAACTCACCAAACTTGATTTCCCAAAACTGGCAATCTGGTATCACCTGGTCTAGATGGGATTATTGTCAAGTTTAATCAAAGTGATGTTAGATTCAATGGGGTCTTTAAAATGTCTATCTTCTCATCAGATTCTATCTTGAGTAGAGCTAAAAAAAAAAAAAAGGAGATAGATTCTTAGTTAGAATACTGGTGAATATGAGGAGTTTTGTAAGAACTCCTCCCTACTAGTTAGTAGTAGTTAGTTATTTTATTTTTTTTATAATTAGTGTACTTTTTTCTAAATAAAAAAACAACAACAATAAAACTGATTTTTGTACAGACATCCTAATTCCACTTGGTACCTAAACAGAAAAAGGCTTAAATTGCTCTTTGTATGTGAAGTTCTTATAGTTCGGATCAAAGCTGGTTTAATCCAGATTTTCCTGATTTAGTTGGGGTGAACCGAGGATTAGTTTAGGAAATGATATCAACTTGTTGTCTCCTTGAATTTGCCATCAGTTTTTTTGTTTCTTTCTTAATATTAAATTCTAACCATTCTCATTTACTAGTAGGAGATAAGTCATCTACATTTCTTGATTCTATCATAAATTATTTAGATCTTTTGTAAGTTAGCGTTATTTAAATGGTTTTCATTAAGTTTTCATTTTGTTATTCTTGGTTCTATTAATCTGTAATGAGGGGAGGCTGTTATAGCACAGTGATCAGTAAGAGAAGGAAATATATTGCAGCTGGAAGTTACAAAGACCAACCAATAATCTTGAGTGTTGGGAACCTTCTAAGTTGCTCCAGGTATAATGGTTTTATTTTATTTTTCCTGGGTTGAGGTTGCAACAAATGTCAATAAGGTCAAGAGAACCAGAGTAATCTGTGATTAGTTGGGATAATGAGAAATATGACGATGGAAACATGTCCTGATTTTCATCAGGTGCTACATTAAAGTGACTCGCAACAATGACTTCTGTTATTAAGGGGCTAGTTTACTTAATTTTCTAACATGGAAAGTTTGTGTGAGTCCGTTCTTCTGTTTCTTTGGTATATTTTCTTCTGTCCCCTTGAATCTCATGTCGGTCTCGGCAGAGGGTCACTCACACTGGTTGTACTGGAGGTTTATTTCTGTCCAAAAAGAGTTTTTCCCCTCTGCTATCGCTGCATGCTTGGTGTGAGGAATCACTGCAGAGTCAATGCAAATGAATGCCTGCTCTCGTTAAGTGCTCATCAAGGAGGAGTGAATGACACTATGTAAACAGCTTGGTTTCTCAGATAGAAGACTTTTAACCAATCTGTCTGTATAATCTGATTGAATTGTTTTTGTAAATAGTCTTGAGATGACATGTGATGCGGATCGGTGCTATATAAATAAACTGAATAAAATCAAAAGTTTTACATTAGAATCCATAAGCATTTACTGAAATGTAGTAAGTGACATTCAACTCAATGTTAACCATTAAGTTCATTATCACCTTTGTGGACAAAACTTTACCTTAATCAAAATTTGTGATTCATCATTTTAATTATACTTTTGTGCCATCAATGACTGTAGGTATCCTTAAAGTGTTCTTGTTCTTCTACGTAGGTTGGCAAGTAATATTTATGAGTGCTTTAGTGTCACCAACTGATATGTCCATTTGCTATTCAAAAAAAAAAATCCCCTCTCTAGGTTCATGCTTTTAATGAGGAGCATAAATCATATTTGGTTAACTACATACAGTGGGGCAAAAAAGTATTTAGTCAGCCACCAATAGTGCAAGTTCTCCCAGTCAAAAAGATGAGAGAGGCCGGTAATTTTCATCATAGATATACCTCAACTATGAGAGACAAAATGAGAAAAAAAAATCCAGAAAATCACATTGTCTTATTTTTAAAGAATTTATTTGCAAAATATGGTGGAAAATAAGTATTTGGTCAGTTACAAACAAGCAAGATTTCTGGCTCTCACAGACCTGTAACTTCTTCTGTAAGAGGCTCCTCTGTCCTCCACTCGTTACCTTCATTAATGGCATCTGTTTGAACCCGTTATCAGTATAAAAGACACCTGTCCACAACCTCAAACAGTCACAGTCTAAACTCCACCATGGCCAAAACTAGAGAGCTGTCAAAGGACACCCGAAACAAAATGATAGACCTGCACCAGGCTGGGAAGTCTGAATCTGCAATAGGTAAACAGCTTGGTGTGAAGAAATCAACTGTGGGATCAATTATTAGAAAATGGAAAACATACAAGACCACTGATAATCTTCCTCGATCTGGGGCTCCACGCAAGATCTCACCCCGTGGGGTCAAAATGATCACAAGAACGGTGAGTAAAAATCCCAGAACCACACGGGGGGACCTAGTGAATGACCTGCAGAGAGCTGGGACCACAGTAACAAAGGCTACCATCAGTAACACACTACGCCGCCAGGGACTCAAATCCTGCAGTGCCAGACGTGTCCCCCTGCTTAAGCCAGTACATGTCAAGGCCCGTCTCAAGTTTGCTAGAGAGCATTTGGATGATCCAGACGATGACTGGGAGAATATCATATGGTCAGATGAAACCAAAATAGAACTTTTTGGTAAAAACTCTACTCGTCGTGTTTGGAGGAGACAGAATGCTGAGTTGCATCCAAAGAACACCATACCTACAGTGAAGCATGGGGGTGGAAACATCATGCTTTGGGGCTGTTTTTCTGCTAAGGGACCAGGACGACTGATCCATGTGAAGGAAAGAATGAATGGGGCCATGTATCGTCACATTTTGAGTGAAAACCTCCTTCCATCAGCAAGGGCATTGAAGATGAAACGTGGCTGGGTCTTTCAGCATGACAATGATCCCAAACACACCGCCCGGGTAACGAAGGAGTGGCTTCGTGAGAAGCATTTCAAGGTCCAGGAGTGGCCTAGCCACAGAGGCGGAGCCACCGTGGTGGCAAAGGGGGGCACCCGCCCCCCTTGTGATCTGATTGGCCACCCCGTGTGCCACCCCAATTGTCATTGGCTTTCATGGATGTCTATTATTCTGCCTTTCAAATGCGACAAAAGCTTTTGAAAAGTGCCGTTAAAAGTACAGTCCTGGAAGAGAGGTAACATATTTAAATTTCTTGATAATTGCATGTAATAAGTATGACAAGACAATGATTACTTTGTTACAAATGAAGGCTCTTTACTGTGTTACAATTGTATAAGGGCTTCGTTTGTGTGTGTGCTGAATTTATATAAGCTACAAGTAGTCTGCTTTGTGATATAGAGTTAACCAGCGCTAATGTTAATGATATCTGTCCAGCAAGCTAGCGCTAGCTTGCTAAAATGTTATACCGTATTTCCGCATATTTTCCTTAACTAGTACAGAAGTTAACATGACTTTATTTGAAATACACTTGTTGTATCATCCCACTGTTCGATAGTATAATTGGTCATATTTCGGTAAACTTTGTTCTGTTTGTTAAAGTTTTTGCATTAAGCTGCAGGAACTCAACATTTCCTGTATCATTTCAAATTAAAAGCTCTCTGTAGCTTTTCAGGTTAGAGTGTGTGTAGGAAACCTATAATTTCTGAATAAAGCTTTTATTGTGAAACATTTTTTGAAACTTATCTACAGCTTTGTCCTTAAGTGTTACTTATATTTTATTTATTAAAAAAATATTATTATTGACTTTGTTACATTAAATCCATGTGGATTATGCTATCTTGATGCTAATTAAACCTTAATAGTCAAGGAAAGTATCATTTTAACCCAGTTACAATAACCATAAATTAATGTTTTTATGTGTATTCTGTGTTTTGTAATAAATGTTTTTAAAGGTAGAGTTAACAATGAAACGGAGAAAAGGAGACATTAAAGATTTCTTCATTAAGAAGAAACAGGCTCAGAACAGGGACAGTAAAGGTCAAGATGATAGCTTTGAGGGCAACAGTAAAGGTCAAGGTGACGGTCAGCCTGAAAGCAGCCAGGGACCATCCCATGTTGAACAAAACCTTTTCTAATAGCACATACTAGCTGAATGTTGATGAAAACATGGGGACTTTAAAATTTTAATGTTGAAATTGCAAAATAAAAAGGCCATTAATATGAAAACGTTAATGTAGCCAATGAAAACATAAAAACGCTTTAAATATGAAATGTAATTGTTTACACTTCGTTTTCTAACTGTGGGGAGAGAGTAGTTGGTGGCAGCCTTCAATTCTGTTGGCACTTTTAGGTGGCCCCCCTGATTTCATCGTTGTCCCCCCTGTGCCCCCCACATGAAAATGATCTGGATCCGCCCCTGCCTAGCCAGTCTCCAGATCTCAACCCCATAGAAAATCTTTGGAGGGAGTTGAAAGTCCGTGTTGCCCACCGACAGCCCCAGAACATCACTGCTCTAGAGGAGATCTGCATGGAGGAATGGGCCAAAATACCAGCAACAGTGTGTGAAAACCTTTTGAAAACTTACAGAAAACGTTTGATCTCTGTCATTGCCAACAAAGGGTATATAACAAAGTATTGAGATGAACTTTTGTTATTGACCAAATACTTATTTTCAACCATATTTTGCAAATAAATTCTTTAAAAATCAGACAATGTGATTTTCTGGATTTTTTTTTCTCATTTTGTCTCTCATAGTTGAGGTATATCTATGATGAAAATTACCGGCCTCTCTCATCTTTTTAAGTGGGAGAACTTGCACTATTGGTGGCTGACTAAATACTTTTTTGCCCCACTGTAACTATGCACAGCTTTTTATTTGCTCGTCATAAAATTTAGATTTGTGACTTGAACGTAACAAAGTGGGAAAAATTTTGAGGATGTGAATTCTATTTCAATTCTCACAAAAAATTCAGCTTTTTTTTCTTAATGTTGCAGGTGATCCTGATTTTGACTAAGTTATATGACTTCAACTTGGGGGCTGTTACAGAGAGCTCGCTTTGGAGGTAAGTTTTTCTAAATTTAATCATAGCTGTTTTGATATTTCAGTCTAAATATATACAGGTTAAGGCACCATTCTAAAAAAAAACAAAACAAAAAACAATAAGAATAATATATTCATGGAGATCATGCTAGATTGTAAATATGATATATAGTGCTTTCCCTTGCTAGGATATGAACAATCAAGTTGCAGTGGAAGCCACGGTGAAGTATGTTTTAATAAAGCGTTCTGAAGTGGTTAAGTTTGAACCATCCTCCTCTCTGCTTCTTGCAGCCCCATAAATAACAGCACTGCGACTGCAGCAAGCTTGTAGAAAAGACTCTACCTTCTGTCCATCATCAGCAAAGAAACTTTTTGAAAGGCTGTTTCTGAAAGATAAACCGAATGACTGATTTGAGAGCTTCTATGTTTGGATCCGTGGTGCTTTTCATCTGACCTAGAAACGTTCTGATTTACTTTTTGATCGATTGTCATTTGTGACTTTTTTTTTTCAGAAGCAATTGACATTCAATCACTGCTATATAGTCACAGCAGTTTTATTCCAAATGTATTAAGGTTTGATTTACAAAGCTCTGTCCGATCATAAATAAGAATAGAATTCATTAAGGACTATACCAGAAAACCCAGTGCTGTCTCTCATATGCCTTTTCTCACCTCTCCAGAAGCCTGCAGGGAATTCATTTCTTTCTGAAATACACATAAAAAGACAATCAGTCGACTAAGTAAAGAGCTTTAACTTAATGTCTGTTTCTCCAGAGGCATTTATACCTGACTCAACTCCCTTTGAAATTCCATATTTCTGGATGGAGATATTTCATTATCAAGGGGCCTGCTTAACAATGGCAAGCAACAAGTAAATTAGAGTGCTTCCATGTACCTAAAATGATTTAAGTCTACAGCTGCTGAGCCTCTACTGGTGGCAAAATGCAGCATGCAAAATCATGCAGATCAATGGGTGATCTGCATGATTTTGCTAAACAGACCTCAAGTCCCATTTTGTTTTTCAACTAGAAACTTCACATTGCAATAACATCGTTCAAACGTTTCTCAGTCTGAAACAGATACACCAACGGACAAGGAGCACTTAACACTTAAATACAAATGTTTTTTACTGTTTGGTTTGTTGAAACAAATCTCTACAGGAAATGGAATAGTTTAAGTTAATGCCCAGACAATAATAGCAGGCGGTGGGTTCCTATCCAATTATTCAGTGGAATTACATTTGGAGCCACCCAGGTAGAACTGAGAACATGGATTGGCCGTTTGTAGAGAGAAGCAACAAGAAGCAATGAATGACAAACACATTTGTCACTGGAGCCAAGTTAGTAATGTAAAGGCATCTTTAAAAGCTTCTGTATTTTTTTTCTAAATTCATTCGGTCTGGGTCTTTTATACAGAAAGATTTTTTTTTTCATTGTTTATATAATTTTTTTTATATCTCAAATCCTGGAAGTCCATATAAAATATATTTGTTGATTCGTAGATCCTTTCATTTAGGAGCATTTACTATACAATTTTAACTGTACAATTCATTTGAACTTTTCCTGATATGTAGAGCTATTTGTGGCAATTCAATTCAATTTATTTATATAGTGCCAATTCACAACACATCATCTCAAGGCACTTTACAGTTCACCAGATCATACAGTCAAATTGATTCAAAGGAAAATCAGTTGATTACATTGACTTATTGATTTGAAGGCAATCCCTTCAAACCTCCAGCAGAACCAGGCTCAGTGTTTTTAGGTCTTTATAAATAAAGCTGAGTCCAGATAATTAGATGATGACACTTTGTAGCAACAATGAAAGAGAAGAAATATGAAGCAACAGCAGCCTTTGTCAGATCTGTTTCACACCTGAAAGCAAAATGTTTCCTTAATATCAGAAAATCAATCTCTAATTGCTGGGTATTCTCTGTAGAGGTGTTCTTGTAAAGAAAACTGAGATTTACAGATAATTGCCAAAAATACCAAATATTAACAGTCTCCATCTAATGTTTTTTTTCGAATGTTTTTTTTTTATAATCATGCAATGTTTTCTTTTCTGACAGATCCACTGATTATGGCAGCACTTACAACAAACTCAATGATAAAGTGGGCTCAAGAACAGTTTTAAGCTACTTGTATGTCTGCCCTACCAACAAGCAAAAGGTCAGCATTTTCCATTGACTTATACCTCTGCTGGATATCAAACAGGTTCATCTCAATAAATTTGAATATAATCAAAAGTTAAATGATCCATTTACCTGAACAATGGAGCAACAGTATTTTGATTTGTTTTATACAGGGATTTTTATTTTGAGCATTTATATTATTGCACAAAGATAATAGGCATACATAATTCAGTTTCTCAGAAGGTTTTCTAATTTACTAGGGTTGTAAAAAAAATATATTTTTAATGCAAAAATGTATTGTTGTCATTTATACCAGCACTATTGGAAAACTGCTGATTGAAAATTATTCACAGGAGATTCATCGGTACCCATAAGAAGGGTAACCCACAGAAGCTCATTGCTAAATAAGCTGGTTATTTAGAGCTCTATATTAAAATATATCAATGAAAATTAAAATATATTTTAAAGGGAATGGAAGAACATTTTGCATAATTTACAGGGGTTACTACAGCCTAAGAATAATAATAATAAAAGAAACAATTTAATAACTACCACTCATTAAGAATTGCTGATGATAGGCTATAACGATTGTATTTTTTTGCACTAAGCCACTTGACAACCAGATACTAACCCAGAAATACAGTATCTTGCCTGGGCTAAGGAAAAAACATTCAGTTGTGGTCTAAATTGAGCAGAACTGTGAGGCTTTGCTCTAAATTTGGGATTTTTGCAGTATCTCAGGCATCAATTTGACTGATTTTCTAAGGTGTATTTTTGAATGACTAGTTTTAGTGCTGTGAATTTAAATATAAATAAGGCACTTCACATCCTGCCCCCTCTCCATGTGGCGGGAAGTTACACTCCATTCTCTTTCGCAATATTTGTTGTTTGATAGCAAAGGTTCAAAACTTGTGTTAGAAGAGGACAACAAAACACAAAATTTCCATTCAGCCAAACATGCTAAAGCCAGAGTCTAAGCAAGAAAAATGTTATGTGAAGTGATCAAAACCATCAGTTTACTCTTGGAGGTTACATGGAACATTTAAAGCTGAATGATTTTGTCAAAAAACAAATTTTACATTTTCACAGCAAACCTTAAAAGTTTTCTTATCCAGAGTCCATTTTAGCAGGACATTACTATTTTGTTTCTTTGGAAAAGGTCTTGATTCTCCTCACCCGCATGGATCTGCATGTTAGCTGCAACTATCTTTCCCTCTTGGGTGGTTTCGGTCCAGCTCTGTGCATTTTACAGACGCCTAAGGGCTGGAGAGGGGAAATCAGTTTCTCATTAAAATGAGTCCCTCTGCGATTTGTAAACTGGGTTTTAAGAAATTGTGATATAAAATATTCACCCAGCCCAAGTTTTAACAGCAGTCATAATCCTATTATTATTGTTACAAAAAAAAAATTTCAGATATCTTTTAAAGTATAAATGCATCCATCCATCCATCCATCCATCCATCCATCCATCCATCCATCCATCCATCCATCCATCCATCCATCCATCCATCCATCCATCCATCCATCCATCCATCCATCCATCCATCCATCCATCCATCCAGTTGCAGAAGTATCTAAAAAGAGCCCATATGCATTTTATTATTTATTTTAATAGGGGCAGATGTCACTGAAACACTATTTATCCAATGAAGTGTTTTGTGCAAAGAAGACTATCCACACTGATATTGCCATGTTTATATGAAAAGTCAAATAAAGAGGCACATTCTGAGAATTTCTGATGCTCAGGGACTGTTTAACTACTTTTGTGGATTAATACATCCAATAACCAAACATTTAGATATATCTGCTTATTCCTTTGGTATCCTTCAAGTTGAACACCGGTTCCACACTAGAAAAATGTGATGTAATACGAAACATGTGAAAGAGAAAAGAAAATGAATGAAATAAATAATAAATGATCCAAACAGCATCTAATGATGTCACGAAAAGACATACTCCAAGTACATCTTTTTACAGGATACAAAAACAACAGATTTTGCATGGTGTCCCCTTTAAAGTTATATAGATTACAACAAATTCTGCATTTGATTTAAGATTCAAGACTACTGAGTCTTGATAAAGAAAAGGACAAAGTTGCTTAATGTCCAATAGGAGGTTTTTCCAGTTAGCAATAATTTGGGTACCCATAGTTTTTTGTTCCATTTGTTTGACCCACAGTTAGCTCATCGATCTATAATTTGAAAAACACATTATGCTATTCTTTAATAAAAAGATTTATGGCAATGCTGATTTTTTTCTCACAGTAGATCCTGCCTACTTGGCCGAATGCATTTTTGCTTTTAAATGACCATGTGTTGTATTATTAGAGAAAAATGTGAGACACCCAACAATGAAGACCTTGGCAACCACTAACATACAGTTAGAGAATGCAACCATTCATAAAGAAGAAATTAATGCAAAAGGATCCCCAGCCAAGTATAGACTACATATACTGCACAGTGCATGGAAAAAACTTTCCTTAATTAAGAAAAACAAAACACATCATTTTATTTAGTATTCAACATTTCTGAGAGAAAGAATTTGGGGTTTTCAGTAACAGTTATTAACACCAATAAGCAGAATTATACATATATATTATATTGCTTTAATTACTGTAGACAATGTGTATTTGATGATATCCTAATTCATTGAGATGCAACTGTTCCCTTATATTTATTTTTTTTTCTAATATCTGCTCCATCAAGATTTCTCTAGTTTGCTCCTTTATATTGTTCTATCCTCTCACTTGGCTTCCTGTACCCTAGATATTGATGCTTAGTGACCCAGAGGTAGAGAGTGCTGTTCTCATCAGTTCAGATGAAGGGGCAAGCTTCGAAAAGTATCCCATTAACTTCAACATCCTGAGCCTCCTCTTCCATCCTGCACAGGAGAACTGGGTACTAGCTTATAGTCATGATTACAAGGTATGTTCAGAGAAAATTCCACTATTTTTTTCATTCATTTTTACTTAAAGTCCATTAGCATTATCATACTTTAAGTATTTAAAGCAATGCATCTTAATTTTTTTTTTCAGCTCTACAGCTCAATGGACTTTGGGAAGAAATGGCAGCTTGTCCATGAAAATGTGATGCCAGGAAGATTCTACTGGTACAATTATTCTATTATGTTTTTTTACATGCTGTGTTCTTTAAATATCATCAAAATTATTAAGTTCGTTCAACAGCCATCCTGATGAATCCAATGATCTCTTGCCGAAAATACCCTCTACCCACATGGAAGTCAAGCTCAAAACTGATTACATCCACCTCACGTAGGCTTGATATAATATTGTGCTTTCTTTTCTGAAGCACAAACACAACATGCTGTTTTTGTTGTTGGTGTCGTTTAGTGGTCTTTACTGCGCAGACACAAGGCAGTGAATATTGATGAGTCCGTTTACCCAGTTGGGCATGGTATGTGTCCAGCCAACTGTGTTCTTGTTTTCATTGAAAAAAGAAATGAGGGTGGTTGGAGGACACCCTCTCCACATGTGTGAACAGTCAGATGTTTCATAAATTAGTGGAGCACAGTTGGTATGGCACAGCCTGAAACAATGCATTATTTCTGCTCCTCAATAGTATTCCTTCATGCACATTATGTCAAAAAGTTATTTTTCAAATTTGTTGCAGCTGCCTGCAATTTCAAACCAGTTCCCATTGGCCAATGTTGGTATTTATGGAAACAGTGGACATTTTGTCACCTCCCTTCCCTTTTTGTTTCCCTTGTTGACGACTCTGTGAATTGAGATTAATTGTCACTGCTGCTACACATTTTACCCTGAGTCATTTACAGGAGATAAAAAAAAGATACTTTTTTGGGTTTCTGAGCACAGCGATGTCCATCCATTGCTGCTATGATCAACAAAGCTTTCTCTTCTTTTTCTCTAATTCTCATTTATCCTTTTCGTATCTACCAAACCCTATTCCTGTTCCCTCTGTTTCCTTCTGCACTTTCCATTCTCTGAAGGGCGGTAATGGGGCTGGACAGAGAATCAGATGTGGTACACATCGAGACGCGCATCGCAAAAGGCCGTGAGTGCTGCACTTCAGTTCACTGCTGTAGCAGGACCCACAGGACCCCTTTGCCTCTCATTTAGAGAGAGGTCACGGGCAAGATGAGACCTGTTCTACTGCTCAGATTGGTCCCTAAAGTCTCGTAGAGCTGAATAGGTGTCTCCTGGAAAAAAAACTCAGAGATTTAGCAGGTTGATAGATGTTCCCTCTCCTTAATCTATCCCCTGTGTTTCATTGGCTAAAGTTGAGCTCCCCTGTTTCTAAACGTTGTTGAATATTCTGTCAAACCAATTATAGGGGGTTCCTGCTTGAGAGACATACGACTCTCTTTCTGAGGGGAACAAAATATGAAGCCAAATTAGCATGTAAACTCTTGTCTCACTCAGTAATATCTCAAACTGTTTACAGTATGCAGGAGGAACAGTGCACAAGCCTAGTCAGAATTTATGGCAGCCTCGAATTCTAAGAACATAATTTCAAATAATTTTAAGAACAAGTGCACATATAACAATTTAGCAATTTAAAAGTTTTAATTTTAAGCTTTTATTAAAAAAAGAAAGAATTTTTTTTAACAAAATCTATATTAAATTAGAGAATGGAGTATGACAAGCAACACAGCGTATTCATAATAAAAAAGTTTTTAAACCTAAATAACTGCTGATAAAATGTTACATGTTACATCCCAAAATATCATCCTAGTCATTTAGCAAATGGAATTAAAGTAAATGGAAATTCAGATATGTGCAACATCTAATCCTGCTAATTAATGTACAGATTTATCACCCTTTTATCAGTTATAATGAACAGGGCATTAAAATCATTACACAAAACAGTGTGGGGCCATTGAGACAACCTTTCACCACTGCATCGATTTATTTGAAAATGAAGCTGATGCATCTGTTCTCTCTGACTAAAATGTTTATAATCATTGTTAAACCTCTGTTTTAGTTCTTACTTCTTTGACTCTTACTTCATAAATTCCCTTTTTTTGCTCAGTTTTGTAATATGTTTAGGTCTTAATGAGTTTGAATGAAGAACAATAACTTTCCAAAAACACAAAACTTGGAAACATTTTTAATTGCTCTTCAACTCTGCAACATACACAGACAAGTACTTTGGATTAAGCATATAACATTAGAAAAACACTAGTCTGGTTGGTATATTGCCATTAGTTAGTTTCCAAGTCATGTTTAATGTCAGTATGGATACTACTGACTTTATCGATTATTCATTTACCTCCAGTACAAATATCCCCTATCACCTGACAGGGGTTTAATCAAATACATTAGCTATATGCTATATCAATCTCCTTCTTCAGTTGGCAACTGTATTATTTTAAGAGTGACTGGATAATTTTCAGATTTGCTGTAACTTTAAGGTACAGCAACAACAAAAAAACGCTGAATAGACAAGAACACCCCTTCACTTTCCAATGACTTAATAGTAGTAATTACAGAAGAAGCCTTTCTGGAGCAGTAAGAAATACTGTAAGAGTTTGTGGGAGCAATGGATATAAAACCATACCAGTATGAACCTGAACCAACAGGTCAATCACTGCATTTAAGGAAGAACTCGGATTCAGAGAATATTTATCAGGACAAACAGGAGGATGAGGGTAAAAACTAGATAAAACTCTTGAAATGTAGACAACCAATCTACTCAGGTCACTCTATAATTTCTGTATATAATATATGTATAAAAAGTATGGAAATAGCTAAGGTCTTGATTGATCCATATTTGATCCAAATATTTGGTAAAACCATGCATAAAACTGCACATACTGTACTAAAGTAACCTTTAATATTTGCAGGTAGCACGACAAAATTTGGATTTGTAAGGCAAACGTTGAAATAAATTAAATGACTGGGAAATAGCTATAGATAACCTAAATAAAGAAATATTTATTGTTTAAGATAAAATAAATATTTCTATGAAGTTAATTCATTAATCATGAACAGCACTGAAATATTGATCTTTACAAATAGAAATCTTGCTACTTTTAAGTATATTAAATATGTAGGATTTTTGGCTGCGATGGACTGGCGACCTGTCCAGTTTGTACCCCGCCTCTCGCCCATAGATAGCTGGAGAGGCACCAGCACCCCTCGCGACTCCACTTGGGATCAAGCATGTCAGAAAATGGATGGATGGATGTGGGACTTTTGGCTTTCTATACGTGCTCCAGTCTCAACTAATCCTTACTATGGACTTCTGTTTGTGAGACAAGCTTAAATTGGAGCACAAAATACTATGGTCAAAATATTTTTTAAGTTAATGTTCTACAGTAGTATTGTCTTTTTATTCATCTACACCTCCGCAGCTGGTATTCATGTCAGCATAATCTAAATTCGAGCAGCCTCTTAACAATACCTATATGAGTGATACTAATTGAAACTTCATCTTGTAAAGATAAACAACAGATCTCTTACAAAAACTACAAAGTTTGTAAGCACCATAAGAGCTGGAACAAACAATAACAGCCAGAGAGAGGGCTATCAGTAGTGACATCGATACAAAGTTAAGTCGTACCTTCGGCTGTGTAAAAGCGATGGAATCACTGCCTGACCTATATTCTGCTGTGTCTACCTGCATCATAGTAAGATTTAGTCTGATGTATTTTATCGGAATAGTGAAATAAACTTTTAAAAAGCAGCATCAGTGCCACTTGGTTGGAACAGGGGGTTGGGGACACTTCCACAATACAGCAATGGAAAATTGGTGGAAAATAATAACTGCGAAAGATTTTTAACTTAAATACGAAAACAAAAGTGCATTCTTTGGTTACATATGTTTTTGGTCTGTAAAAAAAATATATTGATAAAAAAAAAGCATTTAAGTTGGAGGGGCTGGTTCCTGCTCCCAGCTCTACGCTGGATCCAGGACGACATACCCCATTGCCCCACCCTTTTTGGCAGGCGTGTATATTTACCAGTAATAAGGTGAAGATCCCTCCTGAAGATATTGGTGCTTGATATATTTATATGATATCCTCTCTTGTTTGTTTAATTTTAAATGGCTTTGTCCTCCTCTTCATTTACTTTCCTTTATAAATAAAAACAACAACATCCAGGATAAGCTCCTATCACTTTGGTGTGTGATATCAAAGTGTTGCATTTAGAGGGATCCTTGTCAATGGAAGTTGTTCCGACGAGTTTGAAAAATTAATTGTAAAGCGTTGCAGCATCTTGAATCTGTTACTTGGTGCATTAGTTCTGCCAACTAAAATGTCCAGTCACTCTTTAATTGCTCTGTGCTTAATATTTTTGATGGCACCAAATAAATCACACTTTTGAGTGTTTACAGAAAACACAGAAGTGAGGTTTAGAATTCTCCTAATATTAATCTAATCTTAGTACAATTTTTACAACAATCATAAATTCTTTCTTCTTTTAATTATAGTAGTTTCAAAATATTTGTTATCTGACTTTTAACCAGCTTAGAAAGGCTCACTATTGTCACACCATCTCATGCAGATGCTGCTGCTTAAATGATGCACAGTCCAAAAGTTGATTTGTAATTGGTCTAGCTAGAGTAGAATGACAATTTGCTGCTGATGAGGGGGGTTGATAGAGCTAATCTAGCATACATTTACACAGAAACACAGATAATGTTAAAATGAAGAAATCACAAAATTTAATCACCAAATTTAACAAGTCGATCCTATAGTATTGTAATATTATCTTTTATCTATCCTTATCCTATCTTGTTCCAAAAAAAAAAAAAGAAAATTAAAAACAATCCACTGGACTTGGTTTCCAGTGAAGTGAAGAATTTGTTCCAATTTGCATGTTTTCAAAACAAAAACAAGGCTTTGTTGGGCTACTGTATAAAACCTCAAACTCAACACTATATTTGACATTTTGAATTGAAAAGCTTCTTGGATGGGAAGCGAAACATCTTCAAACTTTGGAAACCAAGGCCAGTGGATTGTTTTTAATTTTCTTTTTTTTTGGAATCACTATAGCTGGAAATGAGAACCTTCACCAGTATATCTATCTTGGTTTTTCCACAAGCTCATGGTGAAATGGGAAAAGGTTTTTGCTATCGGAAACAGAACTGTACAAATACCTCTTAGTTTTCTAAAGATAATGCTCAACAATTCTCTTTTTAAAAGAACCAGAACCAACCCTTTATGCTGTGCATTATATTCCCATTTCCACACCTCTTTAAATGGATTCAATTGTTAACGTTACCAGCGGATGCTGGTGACCATGGTCCTACTCTGACTGCAAGAGTGGTTTCGACATGAGGGAATTTCTGCAAAAATAACCACAAAAAGCAAGGTTAAAAATAAATACCTTTCAGCAGGGTGAGAAGATTTCATTTAGTTAACTGATGCCAAAAAAAACTATTTATACAACCTGTGATCATATTAGATACTGCTTAACTTTTGCCAACTCTTATTATTTAAAAATGTGGTTTATTTATTCTATACAAATCTTATTACTACATGCCCATGAGAATATTTTAAATTTGATACATGTCAGCCAGTTTTTGCTGTTAATTAGAAGTAAAGCACCAACATTTTGGAAGTAGGAATAAACTCTAAAGAGTTTTTGTATATTTGAAGTTGGTTTATATTATTGGTATTCCCTTGCATCTCTAGTGCATACCAAGTGAAGTCTAAATGTGAATGGTATTAATTTACTTCCTATTGATTTCCTTTTGCCCCTTCAGGAGCTCAGTACGTGAAGTGCAGAGCACAGAGATGCACTGAGGGCAACACACAGTACCTCTTTCCTGGACACATAGACACCAACTCTCTGGTTGTGCAGGACGAATATGTTTTCACACAGGTTTGCATTGCAAAAGATTACTTTTTCGTGATCTCAATAGTTTCCCTCATCTTTTCATTTAAAGGTGGCTGCTTCTGTGAACTTTGAATGCTTTTTACCCACTTCTTTGTTTCTATGTTTGCTCCCTTGTGCAACCAATTTACGGTTTTCCATCAAACCTCACATAATAGCTTTTTCCAACACACCTGTTCCCCGCCGGTCTGATATGTGTTTTGATTATGTTTTGTCTCGTTCGTGTCAGGGCACGCTAAGGTGTTTCAGTTTCTGCACAGACATAATCCGATCTATAGCTAAAAAAAATATCTTTGTGCACTACAGGCAGATGGCAAAGGAACAATGAAAAGACAGGTCGCCGTCCTTATTATCATTCTCCATGACTTTGACTCCAATTAGACAGCCGCAGTCAGGGTCATTATTAGAAATTTAATTTTCCAATGTCCTCCACTGTCATTGATTTCCTTCCACTGTTAAGCAATTTCTTTCTTGGTGGTCAGACTTAATGCATTTGGTCATCCTTGTTTGACTCTGGGTAAGTTTCAGTGAAAGTTGTCAGGATGGGCAGCACATTTTAATTTCACATAAACATTCCGAAATGACTTCTATTTATGGATTCAAAGATTTCATGATTTAATGTGCTGCAGCAGACTCGACTGAAAATGAAAAAGGGGTGAAAGAAATCGCGGCATAAACTGTGATTCAATAAAATTCCTAAATTACATTTAGCTGAGGTGAGATTGACCACGGAGACAGAGGCAGACGCTGTGAAGATGCTGGTGCATGTAACTGGACAATCAGAGGTAGAGTGTCTGCACACAGCTGTGGCGGCTGAGATGACTTTCTTGTGACTTTCATTGCTCGGGGCAGTTGGATTTAACTTGACAAAGAGTAATGAGGTTATCGATTGGGCTACAACAAAATAAGCCGTCTTCAACACCTCCAAACTCTCCTGGGAGGGGAGGAACGACCAAGTGCAACATCCTCAAAAATGTGGCCTGGGAAAATTCAGCTCATTGATTTTCGATAGATTATTCCATTAGAGCCCTAATGTAGTGTGTTCGGGGACAAACACCATCTTTCTAGTTGATTAGAAAATAAGCAATCAACTACTGTTGGCCTGCCTGTGGTTGGGGACGGGTGTAGAGCATTAAGATGCGCTGTAGATAAAGCCAGAACAATTTTGGACGGATCACCATTTTAGACTAATTGAGGTGGTAATATCAATTTCTGTTTTGCTTGTAAATTTTGTTTAGCCTTCAACACTGCACAGAGCCACATGCGTGAGCAGTTGTTTTATCAAATCAGTCATGCATTATGAATTAATTTGCTTCCTTCAGGAAATGTTTCACTTCACAACGTTACCTCCCAGATAATAAATAATTCTAAGTAATTATTGTCTGAAATTTCAGACACATTAAGTTTTTCTGATAATTATCAACTGAATCGTGTAATGAGGATGGATCCTTAACTATACTAATCTTACTCTAGAGTTTAAAGAAAACTTTGAAAATCTCACAATTATAATAAAATCCATCTTTATGAGCCCGATAATAGTTTGGTCTTGCAATCTTGTATTACTGAGGGACAGACTAAATACAGTATACTTTGTTTCAGCTTAACTTTCGAGGGTATGAAAACAAGAAATAAGTAAAAATAGCCCAGTTAAAACATTAAATAATAACTTAGTTGAATAATATAACTTCAAATATTAATAATTAGATTAACAAATATTAATATAATATTGTTTAGCTACACATAACTTTTAACCATTTTTATCTTTTTTAGATTAAACACTGGTATTACAATGTCACGATTAATTAATTGCGCATTTTGCTCAATTTAAGAATGACATGCTTCCTGAAGCTCACATGGTATAATTTAGGGCACAGTAAGGGCTTAATTGAATGACAAAGGCATTTTTTTTTCAACTATTCTTTTTTTTTTACATTATCTTCCTAGTTGGTCAGTTGCAGGCAGTGCAAAAGTGTAATTGACCTACTCACTAATCTGTTGGGTAGCCTTCAGGAACAAGTGGGGGAGGGGCAGCGTAATGCTGCTTTGTGCCCCATACAGCCAAAGTTAACATCTTTAAAAGTGATTTAAAATTGTCAAGGTATTTTTTTTTCAAACAATTACTTTTTAAAGTTTGCTCTACATTGATACCCAAAATCAGCCCATGCTTATTTTAGTCTTTTGACCCCAAGATAAATATTTAATGATAGTGCGACGAGCTGTTGATCTCTGACACATACATACTCAGCAGCTAAGCACTTTACCTATTAGGATGTGTGTAACCAAGTGGAGTAGTAAATCAAATTCTGTCCAAATGGGTTGATTAGCTTGTATGGGTAAAACAGTACAAACATATGAATACAATTTAACATTTTAAAAAGCACAAGAGGTTGTAATACCATTGTATTTTTTTTAAACTGTACTAATACTGTCAATATCTCAGCATGGCCCAAAATTGTTATTTTACAATTTTTATAACACTGTATCCTGTCCTTTATCTATGATTTCCCCTCAAAAATCTATGCTACACAATCTTCATGACAGTTTCTTTCCCACAAAGGTTACCAAGTCAGGACGAGCCAGTTATTTTGTCTCCTACATGAGAGAATCATTCAGGCAGATGAAATTACCAAAGTACTGTTTGCCAAAGGTAAGCAACAGACTTAATGTTTTTGTATTTATTCACAGTTTCTACCTTTTCTTATAGAGGACAAACTGTGCAAAAATATTTATAAAGACATCACATTAAAAAAAAAAACTCGACTTCTTTTTGGGTTGGTTTTATGTTTCTCCATTTGCACCCATATTCTCTCTCTCTCTCTGTCTGTGCCCATCTTTCCACCGCTGCAGGACATGCATATTATCAGCACAGATGAGAAGCAGGTTTTCGCTGCCGTTCAGGAGTGGAACCAGAACAACACTTACAGCCTGTATATCTCAGACTCCCCTGGGGTCTACTTCATCCTTTCATTAGAGAATCTGAGAACCAGCAGAGGGCCTGCTGGTAACCTATTGGTTGACTTTTATAAGGTTTGTTGTTAGCTTTGTTCAAGACTGCAGCTAAATTTAAGTCATCACACAACAATAACTAACAAATTTAAAATACAGCAACTATTTTGAAGCATGACTTTATTAAATGATCATGTGTTTATTCTTTTCTTTCTTTGCCCCTTTTTAAATGGTGTGATATTTGATTCTTAAATACTTTTGCTTCTTAAGATTCAATTTCATATTACATTCCTTTTCAGATGAAGTCATTCTCCCTTTCAGGGTTTGTCCAATTGCAATCAAAAACATATATATTTGTTTGGTGTTGGAATTTTACTAAACTAATGTAAAGCATGCTATAAAGATATTTGAAAAAAGGCAAATGCTGTTTTTAAAATGTGTTTGAAATAAAACTTAGAAGAGTAGGGTCGAATATTTTCAACGGCTGCAAGTCAATGAAACATCTTTAACTGCAAGTATCTTTTATACATCTCTCCCTTTTTCACATTTCTAGAGAAAAAATAATTCTTGCAAAATGTTCATGCTCAAACTCAGACTGGATGGCTCAAACTCCTTCTGCTAGTTCTCATGGTCTAAACTTTGACTGGTCCATTCTTACTTTGTTATGTTTCAGTCTATAGATGCTGGAATGAGTACATCTGCCATAATCTCATGTTTTTTGCAACCTTTAAAAAGATATGCAGATATTTAACAGTGTTTACATGGATTTCTGTATTCTTTTTGCACATCTACATGTCTTAGTAGATTATCAGTAGTGGTATTTTCGTTTTATTTTCAAATAATAGATTCAGCATTTCTCTTTCTTCAGAATATTCCGAGCATTGGATATTGTTTAATTTCCTTGCCATGCCTTTATCTTGGTCTTCATAATGCTCAGAGATTAGATGAAAAATTGTGTACTCTATCCACAAATTAAGTGAAAACTGAGGTCAAATTGTGTCACTTAATTTTAGTTAAGGTTATCAATATTTTACCTTACCAATTTACACAACATTGTGTTGTTTTTGAAAAAGTGCCATAAGATTTAAGCTGTATTAAATGCACAGCATAAATGCACGTGGCAATGTGCATGACATTAATTTAAAACACATATGAAACATCTTAGCCAAAAGATATAAATGAATAAAGAAATAATATCAAAATTTTGCATTTAAAGTTTGATTTTCCATATGATACCTTTAAATTGATAATCAAAATACTCAAAATGTTTTCATGTTTTTATTCATTTTTTTCCTTTACTTTAACACTTTTTTTCAGGTTGAGGGCATAAACGGCATGTATCTTGCTAACAAAATAGTGGATAATCACATAAAGACCTTCATAACATACAACAAAGGACAAACCTGGGCTCTGCTACCAGCTCCAGCAACAGATGTGGCTGGAAACAACCTTCACTGCATTCTGGTAAGCTTGAGGCTCTTAGGCAAGATATATATATACAATTGCTTTCTTTAGTGCTAGAACATGACAAGTATATTGTCAAGTATATTTCAGCCTAATCAGTTGTGCTTAGGTTTTTATGTTTTTTTTTTTCTTTTTTTTTTCTCTTTCAGAGTGAGATTAGTACACGGCCAGGTGCCAGCATTAGCATCAGCATGCCTTTTTTGGCTGCTGAGGGAAATATTTGTATTATCAGTGTTAGGCACAGGGTGTCATCACAATTAGTTTCTGAGGTCCTGACTTTCCATTAACCTCTGTGATTTCAATTTACTACCTGTAGTCACGCTGGACTAATGAATGTTAGATTACACAGAATTACATTAAGGGGCTATGTTGTTATTCAGCCATTATTATGGAATCTAATCCAGCCAGTCCGTCCTTTAGAGAGAGAAAATGTATATTATTCAGCTAATAGCAGGTTACAGTCTTTCAGTGTGCTCCACAAATGACCACTCTGCTGTTGTCGGCATACCAGCCCCCCCACCAGCCCACCACTGGCACCCCCACCCTACAGCTTCTGCTCTTTGAAAGGCTGTATTGATGTTTTTTAGTTTGCTTCAGTAAGGAAGATGAGTGAAATGATTTGAATCAATTTTGCGAGTTTTATCAGTGCATCTTGGGGAATTTTAATTACATGCCTTGTTTGCTTTGGAATGAAACAATTCAAATGCCCTCCGTGTCCCCTCAGCTATTTCCTGTTTTTATTCTGGGAGAGGAGATGAGAGGATCAAAGTATCTTTGTTTTATAAACGACCTCTGAAAATGTTAGCACTTTTCTCTCAGTGGGAAGAATCATAAGAAAGGAGCGCTAATTACAGCCGCCTCTGTTAAGATCTTGATACACTGTGTCTCAGCTCAGCCAAACACTGTTTTGTGTTGTTGACAGCCATTTTGCTCGCTGCATCTTCATCTGGAGATGTCAGAGAATCCCTACACATCTGGGCCCATCACAAGCAAGAAGTCTGTCCCAGGAATCATTGTGGCCACAGGTACAGTTGTTTGAACAAAAGATAGCTGTGCATTTGAAAGCAGTGAGACTTTGCACATTCCTTGTTTCTCAGATGACTGTATTGCTGCCACGTGACAGCTGAAATGTTCAAAACGAATTGCATATTGTCCCCTTTCTGTCACTGGCATCAGATCCAGAATGTTTTAGGGGCCTCAAATATTTGATTGTTCTAGTTCTCCTGTGAAAAATGAGGAAACACCAACACACTGATGCAGATGAGTGAATATAAAAAAAGATATATATATATATCTATATATATCTATATATAGATATATATATATACCGTGCAAAAATATTAGTACCTCTAATACCTTTCACATTTCATCACGTTAAAATCACTATGTCCCATAAATTTGTCTGTTAATAACAATACAAGAGTAATGCATAATTTTAAAGCTGAGCTTGCACATCTGGAGACTGAAATCTTAACTTATTTTTCTTTCTAAAAAAGCATAATCTCAATTAGTCTGGACAGAGAGTGTGTGTGAAGATAAAGTTTCAAATACTGCCAAGGTTTCTCAGATAGATTAGGTCAGGTTAGTCTTTCTAATACTGGCTGTTTTTTACTGTTGTCCCACAGGTAGACTTGAGACTTGGGCAGTCTCAAGTCTACTTCATCCAAAAACAGGTTTCCTGCTAGGATTGCTTGTGTTTAACTCAATCTAGGCTCCTAATCTCCGACAACCTACCCTTTCTACTAAAGAAAGTTGTCCCAACAGTGTGATGTTGCCACCACCATGCTTTATGGTGGTACGCATGTAAACATATAGTTATGGAACATATGTTTAGGATATTTTCTGACATATAGATTCTTAGTATAGGTCAGACAATTTTATTTTATTTATATTAGCTGCACTTGTTTTTTGTGGGGTAACAGTGTAGTAACATGTGGTGTATACATGCAACACCTTTCAAATTTTCATTTTTTTAGAATTTAAAAAACTTGCATCATTGCCTTTCTATAACACAATCAGGCATTACCTTGAGTTTGTCCTTCACAGAAAACCCCTAGAAAAATATCTCAAAGTTTGTGGCTGCAAGGCACTGTATACACTGTATGTTGTTGTTTTTTTGCCTTTGTTCTCAGGAAACATTGGAACGGAGCTGTCCTCTACCAACCTTGGGATGTTTATTACATCTGATGCAGGGAATAGTTGGAGACAGGTAAGAGGAGTTTATAGGTTTTTTGCTAAACAGTTGAAGTCTTTAAAGAAAAAGCGTGAGACATTAAAATGGGACGTCATGCCTTTTCTTTTCTAATTAATTCAGATTTTTGATGAAGAGTACAACATTTGGTTTCTTGACAACGGAGGTGCTTTGCTCGCAGTTCTTCATGCATCAACGCCAATTCGCCAACTATGGTGGGTATCACACGTTGTTACAGGCAGCATACCAGAGTTGGGAATTGTAGGTGCGAAGGTGTAGTGGAAAATTACCTGGATGTAATTTTTTTGGAGGGGGGGAGGATCAGCATATGATTACACTTAATGTTCTAAAATCCTGATGGGCAAACTTTAGGTGATTATTGTATCGCCAGTGTGGCTTCAGAGCTGTCATTTCCAGCAGAAGAGAGTGTGCTACAGCTTTGTACTCTTGGTTGGATATGAAGGTTTGAGTGCTTTTATGTAAATGAGCGGTGGAGCAGGATGGAAATATGAGACTCAGAATGCCCTCATAAGTCCCTCATTGTGGGAGCTTTGTAACACTATCTACTTTGATGTCCCTGCACACTACAATGCTGTCAAAAGTGATTAAGCTCAGAGAAAAGTGATTTGAAACCCCTAAATCTTTTTCTGATGTTGGAATCTGAGTCATACCTTTCTTTCTGATGTTTTGTCACCTTCAAACATTACCTGGGCTGAGGGACATTTGTTCTTTTGTTCAGTCGGCTGTCAAGTTAATTTTTCAAAAAGAAGAGAAGCCATGGCGCTCCATTTTTCAAACATGGCAAAAGCCAAATGACCTTAAATCATATTTCAACTTTACTGTTTACCAGCTGTATGGTTTGTATACATGCACGATTTGATGCTGTCTTCATGGAATAAACAATAAATTTCCCCACTTCTGCAAGATAAACTGGACTACAGGGGGTTTGATGCGCTGACAGATATTGTCTTTGTTATGCAGGATCAGTCTTGATGAAGGGAAGAAATGGGATCGCCACAGTTTCTCCTTGGTGCCTCTGTATGTGGATGGCGTTTTAATGGAGCCTGAATCTGACAATCATATTATCACGTAAGCAAATACTCCCAGGTACTGACTAGGTAGATATCAAGACTGAAGAATTGGCTCATTTTAACATTTAAAGAGAAAATATCCACAAGTGTTTTACATTAAAATGAGCAGGCATAACAATAAAACATTTGTCTTGCATTGGTTTTGAAGGCGTATTGTTGTGTCTGTGTTGCTGGTGAGTATGTTGATCTAGCTGGGCACTCAGTGGTAAGAGCTTAGTTAGAGATTTAGGTTATATCAATTTTCTTGGTTTGCCACAATCATTGGTGAACATTTCCATGGAAGGTGTTGTTTATATATATTGAATGACAGCAGACTATTGCACTATTGCATCAGAAGTTTTTACTTAAGGTCTTTATCATTTTCATATAAATTATTTCCCCATTTATCACTTCACCACAAAGAATAGTATATTTAATTAGGATTTTGAAGGTATAGTGGAGGATGTTTTTTCTGGGTGGATCATCAAAATAAGTGGTCAGGAAACTCATCCCCATTTTCAGTTTGACATAGTTAAAAAATTGCAAATCTTCCTTTGGAAAGTAAGCTTGTATGAACAATGCAATAGCAACTTTTAAACAGAGCGTGCATGAGGAGCAATGGGCTCGTGCATGCTCTCGCACGTGTTTAATAAACGTTCCCTCTCGGAAGCAGGTTCAGGGGTCGTGCAATGTGCATTTTTCTTTTAAAAGTGGAGAGAGTGGATCTTTTCAAAAATTCACAAAAATCCTCCACTATACCATTAATTTATAGTCCAATGCAAAGTTATGGGTAAATGTGTAAAAAAAAAAATGCAAAAATAATTGTGTTTGTATTAATGTTCACTCCCCTTTGATAGCCATAACCAACCCTAAGAGTTATTGGACAATAAAAGTGAACAATAAAGATTGCAAAGACAGAGGAATTTCACACAATTTAATGGTATTCCTTTCTGATCAGGTGAGACCAAGGTACAATATTTTGCCCAAAATGAAAAGATCAACCATGAAGTTCACCCTGGACATACCATTCCCATTGTAATCTAAGGTGGTGGCAGCATAACTCCTTGGGTATGCATTTCTTCTGCAGGAACAGGGTAGCTGGATGAAGATTAATTCAGGACAGACCTGGAGGAGACTGTTAGGGTTTGCAAATGGGCTGCAGAGTTACTAACCTGGCATAAGCCAGATTGATACTGTGTAGAATTCAAATTGAGCTATACATATCAATTCAGGAAAGCATCATTTAGAAAGTGTTCACAAAAGGGAGGGACATTAAGTACAATGCTTGGACCTAATTGGGCACCTGCTTCCCATGTTGAGTTTTTAACCGATCACAGAAGCAGTATCAGCTTGATTTGTTTCATAACTAGTGGATTTAACTGATAAATCAAACTTACCAAATCCAGTAGCGGGGAACGTGCAACCACCTTCCTATTCACAAAGGCAAAAACTGTGTCCTTTTCCATGTTTTTCAAAAAGAAATAGAGCATATTCCAGCTAAAACCCGCACACCTATGTTTTTTTTTTTGCTCTTGCCTTCTGTGTCATGATCTGCCCTGATAGCTCACCTTAATTACTCATGCCTTTCGCCTGCTTAACTCTGTTCAGCTCCTAATCATCACTCATCCACTTGCCGGTTTCTCTTATATTGGGCCCAGTTTCAGCTATCATGGCTAGATCATTGTTTGCCTTCTGTTTGTTCCCTGTTTGATTTCTGTTTCCCCGGTCAGTCGGTTTTGTTAATTTTAGTTAGCTCCAAGGTTCCTTTCCCTGCACCAGTCAGAAGTTTATTTTCAAGTCAGTGTCCTCAGGTGAGTTATTTTCCCTAACCAGTGGGTTAGAGTGTTTCACCATTTCCCTAGTGATCCTGATTCCGTTCCCTCTCACCCACTGGTCCTGTCTGTCCCGGCCTAATCTGCCCGCCTGAACCTCAGTTGTACTCCTGCTGGATTTTGCCTCCGTGTGGGTTTCTGGCTGAACTGAATGCTTGACGTACGGGACTCTGAACCTGTCCTCCAAGGTGTGTTTCGGTCTGATCTGGATGCTCGACGCACAGGACTCGGAACCTGTCCTGCAAGGTGCGTTTTGGTCTAAGCTGGATGGTCGACGCATGGGACTCTTAATCTTTCCTCAAAGATGCATTTCGTTCTAAGCTGGATGCTCGACGCATGGGACTCTTAACCTGTCCTCCAAAGTTAATTTCGGTCTGAACTGGATGCTCGACACATTGGACTCTGAACCTTTCCTCGAAGATATGTTTCGGTCTTAGCTGGATGCTCGAAATTGGACCTCGGAACTTGCCTTCACACTCTGATGGATTCTTGGAACCCGGATCTGTCCATTTCTGAGTAGACCAATCTTTTAAACCAGGTAAGTGACTCACTCTAATAATCATCTTCTGTTCAGATGATAGTGGTCACTTACCTGTGTTTCACCCTAAACCAGTGTGTCAGTGATTGGGCGGTGCCCCACCTCCCTTCCTGCAGCAGCCGCGAACCGCAGATCAACAGCAGCGTGCTTCTGTTCTGTTTGTTTTTATAAACGTTTAGAACTTTCCTACTGGCTGTCTCACCTTGAATACTGGGTCCATCTGTCCCGTTTTATGACATTCTGCCTCTGGTTGATGCATTAAATTCATATATGTCCCTGCATTTCATGGTCTGAAACATTTCTGTATCGAGGCTAATGCATCTGTTGGCCTCTGCCAAGATGTTTCTAAGAGTTTGTAAATTCACAAATCTTGAGATAATTCATATTGTTTGCAAGGTAACATATTTACCTTCAAACATGGACAACTGTCCTAAACATGCTCCCAGACGTACAGTAAAATTGTTACTTTTAGAGCATATTCAATTGCTAAAACTGCACTGTCAAACTGCAGACCTATCTGTGGCAAAACTGGAAAATTGAAGCTGCAAATCCTAATGCTGTCATACTCTAGATTATTAAATATATGCATGTTTTTGCACCAAAAAAAGCCTTTTGGGGACAGGATTTCGGGTGACAGTTATACAAATTCACCCCACAGAGTTCAGATTTTCAGCTGTAACACTGAAAACTTTTACAATAGTACATTATTTGTGTTGGACTCATACACTTACCAACAGATAAACATTTCTTTGTTTGTATAGTGATAAGATTAAAAAGTTCAGGGGTTTGAATACTTTGCAAGGTAATTTTGATGAGGCTTTATTGAAAGTTTAAATGTGTCATTTGTTTAAGCAAAAAAAAAAATCTAAAATAAACAAATATTAAACATTAATTCATTGAGCTTATATTTTGGATTTCAAACCATTTATTAGGAAAAAGTAATATTTTAAACCTAAATGCTGTGTATAACTTGGCTAAGGAAGTGAGTGAAAAAATAAGTACATTTTAATGTTCCCATAATGCGTCTGTATTAAACAAAACGTAGTTCTACATATTAGGGGCATGAGTTATTTCTGTACCTTAGCAAACTCCCAGGTGGGAAAAAAATGTATTTTCATGTTTCATTTTTCAGCTTTTTTGGACACTTCAGCCACCGGTCAGAGTGGCAGCTTATCAAGATTGACTACAAGGGTCTCTTTAGCAGGAGATGCATGGATGGAGATTATCAGACCTGGTACCTGCACAACAAGGTAACAGGGATGTTTTTTCATGCCTGTCCATTGCACACTAGTTGTAAATGTTAACCTGTTGTTGATTTCATGTTTGTTAAAAAAAAAACACAATTTACTTTATGTAAAAAGGGAGAGCTTTGTGTGATGGGTGAGAAGCAGATCTATATGAAGCGCCGGCCTGGCAACCGTTGCATGTTGGCTCAGGATTATTCCAGGATCTACTCCTCAGAGCCATGCCTCTGCACAGCCTATGATTTTGAATGGTAATGACTACTTTTTTGTTTTCCTACAAGCTGTGCAACTTTGAGATTATAATACATTTGAATGTAATTAAGATGCTTGTGAACATTTGTGACAGGAAAACTGAAGTATCAGTTGGAAAAACTGCATGTGTTTTAGTATCCACAGTACATTGCACATTTACTGCAGTGTGACTCTAATTATATCTTGAAAAATTTAGATGGAGTTTAGAACTTTCATCATGCTTTTCTGATTTGCATAATGTCAAATTACTTATTAGAATTCAGTTAATAATGGATCGTTAAATGAATTTTAAATCTATTTTATCCATTCATCTGAAATTCTCTTTGATCTTGCTTGTCTGACAATCGTGTCTCCAGTTAAAGTCTTAAAATATTCCATGAAGCTCTAACTGAGAAAAATTAGCCTCACTACAAAAGCTTGTAGATTATTGTGAGAAGCAGTGTTTATGATTTTATGATGTACTGCGTTTTTTTATTGAATCGAATTCTTTTGGCAGTGACTATGGGTGGGAGCGTCAGGCAGATGGAAAGTGCTCTCCTGCTTTTTGGTATAATCCAAATGGTGTAGCTAAAAGCTGCAGCTCCAGCCAAAGTTTCCTTAACAGCACTGGGTAAGTGCGTCTCAACGTTAAGTCCCTGAAAAAATATAATTCTCTCTTGCCATGTTTTATGATCTGCTGGAATATAAAAAAGAAAATGATCATTTACAATCTAGATAACTCAAAATAAAGACGAAGGGATCTTATAAGTATCATCTGCATTATTTATTTTAAGATAAACAAAGAGAGAAAGTGGGCACTTGGAAAGTGAATATATTACAGTATGTATATTCATGTGCTGATAAAACACTTTCACTGCTTTTCTAAAAAGTGGTTAAATATAAGAAATTGTCAATGTAATATGTGTTAAAAGGGAAGCATTTGCTCTTTAAAATTTAAAGTAGAAATGTTGCCTATTTTTTAAGGATGCTTATTTTTTACTTTATTTTTAAAAGATACCGTAAGGTTTTGTCCAATAACTGTAAGGAGCGAGGGAGAAATGTGTACTCGCCCAAGAGAGTGGCATGTCAACCCAAAGCACCCCAGGGCCTCCATCTGTCCACCAGCCATGGAGAGCTCAGTGCCACCGTTGGAAGCAATGTTACTTTTATGATCCACCTTGATAATGTGAGTAAGAATTTGACATGATTTCTGTTTTATTTTTTTTTTATTTTGTTTTTTTTTTATTTTTATTTTTTTTCTGTTTTATTAAATGTTGTTAAGTGTTGTTTTATTGGTTGCATTAAGGGAATTTCTGAACTGCCGTAGCTTTGGTCAGGCATTGATTTTAAAGACCTTTATTGCATGCAACAGGATTTCATTCATTTCATACCTAATTATGCAGAGAAAAACAACATGGGTGAGTGACTAGCTTCCTCATTAAGTTTGCTTTTGCTTAATTTTCTTTAATTCTATAGGCTTGGATAAGATGTTGGTAAGAATGTCTATAATAATAAGGGAAGTATTCAATGGTTTATCATTGGTTTTTGATATGAAATTTAATTTGATATATTTTCAACATATGTTGAATAAGCTGATTAAACATTGTGCAAAACTAGATTCTACTTTTCTCCTCCAGAATTTGTAATACAGTAAGATCCCGAAATCCTGGCATTTTTATAAAACTTTTTTTTTTGTTGTTTAATGTTTTCAGCACTGGGGAACTCCACAACTGTTTTATTTCACACATAGCTAAAAACAGTGCTTTGGTCAACACAGCAATATAATGGCTTATTGCAGTCAAGTTAACCAGAAAAATAATTAAGACGTGATCTATTCAGAATCTCATTAGGATTTATCCAAAGACTTAAAGGGAAGGATGAACAGGGATATTTCTCTCAATACTCATGAGGATTGTAGCTGTTTATGTAAGAGCCAAAACAATGAAAATATATAACCTGTGTGCCTGATGAGCATTTGATAAAAGCTCGGGGGCCCTAACAGAGACCGGTTTGTTCATTTGTTGCAAGTTGTATTGTGTGTAATGACTGTTTTGTTCAATGTGAGGAGAGAATTTCATTTCTTAAGGTGTTTTTGCTTTGTCGAGGACTTTATTAGAACATCAATTATTAATATACACACATTAGTGCTGTCTTATGTAAACAGATATCATGGGGACTAGATTGTTATATCACAAAACTCTGAAGCGTGTTTAACACACATTTCTAAAAAATACAAAACAATTTAATTAGTGGATGCAAAAGAAAAAAAATCCCAGTTTTTACTTAGAAAGCAAAATAGGTAAATAGCATTTTCACAACAAACAAAATAGAATTATAAAAAATACTTTTATTGTGTTTGTTCCAGCTCTTTTAGATTTCTTTTGTTTTTTTTATTACTGCCTAGCTTTCAAGAGTAAATGTCTCTTACTGTATCTGTACGGAAATAGAATATGTTGTCAACCTGTAATACTTGTATGTGGTTTTCCATAAGTAAAAGTTAAGCATAAAACATGTTTCACTGTGTTTTAAGGACAGACAATTGTCAGTGATAAATGATAACCCCTTAGAGCTAAAGTGTGTAATCTTTAATGTCATCTAACAAGGTTTTTTTTAGATCATAGCTTCAAATCCATAAATTCTGCAATACTGTTGTCTCAAATACTACATTGGCAAGTATACAAATTAGGAGATGAGGAAGTATCATGAATTTTTTTTTACATAAAAATGGGAGATAGAGAAAATGATCTTGACAAAGAATGAAGTGGGGAATTCTCTTAATAGGCTTGTGAATGGCTTAAAAAGCTGTTTTAATTTAGCCCTAGAAAGACTGTTTCAATTCCTACCTCCAGCACACACACGGATGAGTTAATATATTCTCTCATCCTATCCCAGTCTGGCTGCAGGCTCCTCAAATCCTTAGTGGTCCATTGTTCATCTCCTGAATATCCAGAACCCACCTGATTGAAAGCATGTATAAATTACCGCATGTGGTCCAATGAGAGTGTCTAACTTCACTTGCGCCGCTTCTCCTGTTAATATGGTAAAACCTTCCAGAGTGAGCGGGACCAGGCTACACGTGATACACCTTAGCCAATGAGCTGTGTCAGTCTGGGTCGCTGCTGCAAGCCACTTTTAGACACAGCAGGCAAACCTGTTGCAAGCTGGGCAGTGGGAAAGCAGGAGAAGATGAAGAGAAAAAGAAAGTAGAGAAAGTGTGGACTGCTGGAAGAACTGATGAAAGAACAGTCAAATGGGGTGCTCAAAGGTGACCCTGCACATTTTGAGTATTTGGTTCAACCTAGTACTGTAAAGCAGGATTCCCTACCATGAACATATTTAAAAATAAATATCAATCCAGGCTCACGAATGTGTACGGAAGAGGATTAGGGCCAATGAAAAAAAAAAAAAAAAAGTCTACTGATTTTTTAAATATTTCAGTTAGATATGGGAAAAAATGAAAATTCTGACTTTAATCTCAGAATTCTGGCTGAATTCTGTCAGTTAGAAAACCAGCCATGTCAGTTCTAGAGATTGAACTAGCTCTCTTGTTTTAATCACCTTCTGCTCTTGCATTAATGAAATAGCATCACCAGGGACCCCTCAGGCACGTAAAAAGTCACCTAATTCCGTCATTTTCCACCAATGTGTTACTGGCCTGCCCAACAACTCACATCTTTGTCAGTGAAGCTGAGTGCTCCCACATCTCTTCCTTTATGGTGCCCATCTACATTAAGATCCGAAATTCTGAGATTAAAGTCAGAATTCTGACTGAACTAAAATTAACAAATCAGTTAACTTTTTCTATTTTTTCAGTGGCACTAATCCTGTTCCGTAAATGAGCACCTTGATATGTGCTTGAGAATGGCTTTGCCGCCATTCAAACCCGGGTTTAAAAGCCTTGCAGGGCAGCATAAAGCTCACTTCTCTCATTAAGCCAAAAAAAAGAAAAAAAAAAAAAAAACGGTCATTTCAGGTGTTTTATAACATCAGGAAATTGTCTATATAACGAACTAAATGATTGTTGCTCTCTACTTAAAAAAATGTAAAATGGAAAAACGTTCTATTTTTTTTTTTTGAACATTCAATGTATAACATGGATGCATAAAAAAACGTTAATTTATTTCAGTGTTAAATTCTGTTTAGAGTAACAGATCATAATTAAAAATGTCTCCGGACTTTTACTGAATGATGAATTTCTTTATTCGAACACCAATGATTTTTAATTGGCTACCCGTGCTCTAGAGGCTAGAGGCTCTAGAGGCCTTTGCCTGCCATTGTCTCTTTCTGCCCTGATGTAAACCCGGGCCAGCTTTAGTCTCTTCCGGGCCCTGAGTGCTATGTTTTCTTGCAGGCCTCTCCGAACTACCGCTGTGCTCCTCAGCTCTCCTGCTGAGCTAGGAGCAGAAAGCTGTCGCCTCTAGTGATATGGTTCCTTAGCTCCGATGGGGGGCACAGCTGGTCGGCTTGCCCCGGTTATGGAGCTCTCCCAGCCGCTGTTTTCACACTGATTCCCTGCTGCTCCTGCCTGAGCTCAGGAATCTTGTCTCCCCTTATATTTGTGGTCCAGGTGATATTAACACAGAGGCACACAAAGACACAACCATGCACACAAACACTCACACCTAAGGAAAATTAACTTAACAGTCATGTTTTTGGACTGCATTAATGCAGTCCAAAAACACAGGAAACAGGATAACCCAGAGAGAGACCCAAGCACGAATGGGGAGAACATGCAAATTCTGTGCTGGAATTTGGGTTTACAGTAATACAAACTACACAACTGTAGTTGTGTAGTTTGTATTACATGTAACATGTATATAGATTTATGTGTTACATTACCTTTAGGTTTAACCTATTTGGTGACTTCACTTGAATTAATTCCATATTTTCCAAAGATTTTCTGGAAAACATGTGAAGGAAACTGACCTTTAGATGGCCTGGCTGAAGAAACAGTAAACTATTACTGTAATATTATTCCCAGCAATGGTGTTTAAAAGCATGCTCATTCATGCAGGTTTGACTTGGAGTTCACTTCTTCATGGAGGAAGCCACTCTTTACATTTGCTATAGTGCTTGGCTATGGATAGTCTATGGATTTGCTGGCAGGGGCAGGGTGTTTTGGGAGACTGAACTGGTTAATCCTGCACTTATTTGCTGTCAGCCCATATTCTTCAGCCCATAGAGACACACACGTGCAAAAATTATGTGAATCAATCAAAGCTTGGCCAAGCACCTGCAAGCCCGAACTATACAATCCTCCCCCTAAGAGTGCTGCATTTGTAATGGGCCTTTGCCACTGCCAGTGAAGCTACAGTATCAGGGCCAAGCTCCCCATCAGTCGTGCGTGAGCATTGTCTACTTAGCCAATATTGCCTGGGGCAAAATTTTAGCAGAACAGAGATGTTCTCATTGAGCTGTGGCAGTCATCTCAATATCCAAAAGCTGCAGAGATCTTCACACATCCAAGGCCATGGTGATATTAAAGGCTCTCTATTAATAACAAATTCACTAAAGCAAATTGGCCTTCAGGCAACTCTTTGGTTTGGGTGGTTATCTATTAAATTTGGTTGCCATTTTCTTGGCTAACATCAGCCAACATAAGCTTACTTACTTGACCCGGGTTTGATAGGTGATGCACAGGAAATAAATGCATCTCCCACATATAATCTGGTTTAAAAAAATGACAAATGAAAGGATTTAGCATGAACATAACTTCTTTTCCTGAAGAAGATATTTTTCCGATATATAATGTTTAAGATTTCCCTTTTAGTCAAAAATCTTCTGGATTTTAAAAGAAATAGAGTAATAAAAAAACTAATTACTGGACATCTAGTATCAGTCTAAATATGTTCACATGCACAGAGACTTTTAATCTATTTTTTTTCATTCTATCAACTCATTCTTTATGGCAACAATACCAACAATCTTTTTGCCTGCAAGTACTTTCCTAATTTTCAAATATGTACCATATAGACACAAACAACAAAAACAAGTCCTTCAACCAAAAATTTCAGTATTTGGTCATAAACATATGAGTTGCATATTCTAGAAGGCACACATACAAACATTTTCCTGCCCACTATTCTGGTCATTTTACACTAGCATATCAATTTACACCTGGTATGATCAGCTTTGCAAATACTACTCAGTTTGCATGTGTTTCAATACATGCAGACCTTTGATAATCAAAGACTTTAATGTAATGAGGTCCACAGTTTACAGTACTAATGCTTGGCTGTCACGTTGTGTTTAGGCCTATGTAATTTCTATATCTTACGATGAACTTCGATGTGTTTACCATAAAAACCTATCACACCTATACTATAACATCACAGTCTACTATTTACATTGCAACTCTGCATTTAAGAACATACTTGAAATATTCTATGTGAAAAATCATCCAATCATAGAACCATGATTCCATAAAACTAGAAAAGTACTTGGAGAGCACAGACTTCTGCCAAGCAGCAAATTTTCCATCAAATTGTGACTTACACCTTTAGTTAAAATTCACACATGATTTGGATCTGTAATGGCCGAGAAAGTAGGTCCCAGAATTCAGGCAAGACAGACAGTGGATTACTTAAAAAGCTTTTATTCAAACTATGACCGACTGCGGCTCTGCAGTGGCAGTGGCTGCAGTGGCTAGGGCGTCTGAGGCAGGAACGTCTATTGGAGAGAAACACAGGTTAGTAACTGCGATAATCTGATTATGAATGCCTGAGATACTAACCTGGTTTGACAGTAAAATATTGGATTAATAGCCGATCATTTATACCGAAGAAAGGAAAGAAATTAGGAGAAAATTAAACAGTAATAGCATTGTTGATTGCTTTGATGAAGCCATTATAGATGATTGCAGTTAACCAAGATTTCACTCATGCTTTTTCTTTTCTACATTCTAACTCATCCCTCTCTATGAGCTTTAGAAATTTAGTCATTCTAACCTATAGTTTTGTTCAGAAAAACTGCAGTGTTTATTTCCACATACACAAATGTATTGGTGTATAATATAAACAACACTTAAATATCTAGTTATTTTGAACCTCCAAACCAATATTTGGTGGTATGATTAATTGTTGCTCATGCATGCAGCATCAAATTGGCAGACCTGTGGCACCTATGAACTATTAAGCCCAGGTTAATTTAGCTATACCCTAAGGACCCTTACCGCATCTTGTTTATGCCTTAAAAAGATCTTGGTTGATGTCAACTCCCAAGCTTTAAAATTGACTAATGTCAGAGATACTGTTCAGTTACTGGTATGTTTTGAGTTGAAGTCTCCTTGAAACACACATTTCAAAGGCATTTCCTCTTTGCCATAAGACAATATAACTTAGAGTATTTTGATTAATTTTGATGGTTTGATTAAGTAGATTTAAAAGCCATGATATCCCAACACCTCCATAGCATTATAGCACCACTGTGGTTTGATTTCCATGTTTGACATTCATCTGAGAGAATGCCTGCTTTCTACAGTCCAGCCCACTGCAACATTTCTCCTAAGTCCAATAGGTTATTTGTTAAATTGTAATCTCTACAGTCCAAAAGAGGACTGGTCATTTTGCCTAAGGCCACTCCTAGTAGCAATGGGGCTGAAGAAGGGTCTTCTTTTGAAGGCTTTTTACATATAGATTAGCTTCACAATAGCATTCTGCGATAAGTACTCACATATGTCTTTACATTGTATTCATTCCCCCTTAAACAGATCATTACATTTTTTTATTTTTTTTATTTTTGCTTAATAATCTTCCACATTGTTCAGATTTTGGTTTCTATTTCCGAAGTTCTTTTTAGTCTGAAAAAAAAAACAGCTAAAGACACTCCTTGTGTCTTAATTGAAGGGTCAATAATACAAAACCAGCTACATTCATGCCTTTACTATTTGACTTTCTATTACTCTTCTACTCCTAGTAGTTTATGATATGCCATAGAGGAATATAACACATAACATTGCACAATTTAGCCTGAGTTGCTACCTGCAACTCTATTTCAATTGTGAGCACACAAAAATATGCAAACTCATCCAACTGGCTCATTGTGTTATTGGCAAGTAGGATTGATTACAAATATAACCAGATATTGCACCCGAGAACTTTTCTGCTAGTGTAATTTTGCAGATGATGAAATCACAACAATACAATATAGTGTAACATATGTAATTTCAATTATTTTAATTGAAAAAAGCTGTAGTTTTAAACTTTTCTATACTTCTGGTCACTGGGTGGCCTTTTCGGTTTCTTAGTTCTTTTACTGTTCTTATTTTCTCAGTTGGATTTATGTCACTTTTCATCCATAGTTACTTGCATGATGTCAGTGACACAGCTCAATGGACATCCAAGTGCAGCACTTGAGTAACGGGCTGGGCTATCTCCAGTTGTACTTGGTCTCACTGAAGTGTCCTGACCTAAGCCATGATGACAGCTTCTGTGTCATCTTGTGTATTCATAGGGAGAGTCTCCCAGCACCAGCATTCAGCTTGACTTTGGGGACGGCATCAAGATTACATACTCTAACCTAAGCAGGACTGACGATGGCATCAAGCACATCTACAGAATGACTGGGATTTACCGAGTGATAGCTACTGTAGAAAACAACCTGGGATCTGACAGCACAACACTTTTTTTGCACATCACTAGTACGTGGATAAGTAACATCATTACTCATTCTTTCACCAGTGCATATAGCATGAAGCCTCTTCGCTTTCCTGTAGTCGCATTTTGATGCTGCCCAATTTCCTTTCACTCATACTCCTAACACTTCTATGCATATCACTGTTTGATCATGCAAAACCACACAAATTGAGTAAAATGTACAATACTTGTGAAGAATTTAATACTTGGTAATTATGTTTTGCATTAATGTGATGCATGTATGTATATATGCTCATGTATTTTTCTACTACCCAAGGTCCAGTGGATCGTGTTTATCTCTCCGCTCCTGTTGTGGCCTCCAAGGAGAAAGCAGCTAATCTGACTGCCGTAGTTTGGCCTAGCCATACAAGAACTCTGACCTTCTTTTGGTGGTTTGAAAACAGCTCCGAGGTGAGGGAGCCTCTCCTCCTACTACTACTGTTTTCAGCATTCATCTTTGTCCAGTTTACTGTCATTGTTTCTACTCTCCCACTCCTCTGCTGTCCTTGCCCCACAGTAATGATTTAAAATTGCAAACCTACAGAGCTTTCCCACGAGAAAATGTAAAATGTTGCATGTGGCTGCTTTCTCTTGGCGGATCGGGCTCAAATGGATCGTCATATTTTTTTATCCTGTTGATTATATTCACAGAAGCAACTGCTCATTATACAGCATGTCAAGGGCTGCATATATGTAGTATTTATTCAGCATTTTCTCAAAAAATTATCTCTTTTTCTTTTGAAATTCAGCCCATTATAACTCTGGAAGGAAGCATCTCACACATGTTTCTCAGAGAAGGAAAAAACAAGGTCACAGTCCAAGTTGCTTGTGGAAGCACCGTATTGGAAGACTCAAAAGTTATAACCGTTAAAGGTGAGTAGAAAAGACAGACTTCAAAGCACTTGATTTGCAGTTACATAAATATACAATATGCTATTTGAGAGGGTGGGGTTTGGGGGTCGGGGATGTGTGCTGGCTCTCGGTCAGTGCTTTGTGTTTATCAGTGTACGCTCATCTAATGAATAAAATGTCTCGCTTTGTGAACATGAAGTCTGGAAGAGCAATTAACTTAAGGCGTATGTTTCTAAATGAAGAAAGACAAATCCGAACATCATATTAATCAAAAAATAAACTAGAAGTAGCATTCATTTTCTAATACACATCTTCACTCCTTTTTTCTAGAGTTCTTCAGGTCACTGCTGTTGTCGTTTTCACCAGCTCTTGATGAGCACAATCCTGACATCCCCGAGTGGAGGGAGGACATAGGCCGTGTAGTGCGGACAGCTTTGTCACAGGTACATCAAGTCCCAATAGATCTATCCTGAAACCAACATCGGAGCCCCATAGCTTTCAGGGTCATTACTATTTTAAACCTCTGTGCAATAATAACCACACAGCTATCATGTTATATCCTCTACGATCCTTTTTTGAGATGATCTGGGATGACAGGTCACTAGTGTGAATAACTGGTGTGAATTAAAGGTGATATCAGCCATTGTTGCTATAAAGTTACACAGGATATTATGATGACTTACATTAATCTCCTTAATAGGGTTAAATCTGTCAGTCCTGTTGTCTTGTCCCCACAGGTGTCAGGGGTTCCTGAAAATCAGCTGATGGTGTCTCTGTATCCGGGACTTCCAACCACAGCTGAGCTCTTTATTCTGCCTGATGAGCAAATGTTAAGTGAGCACAAGAAAAGGAGGGACGAGGCTTTGGATACAGTAAGAGCAATGATGTGCATTTTGGTTTTACATTTGAACCTTTTTTGTTTTATAAAGTCTAACACAGCAAATCAAATATAACATGTTCCTATGAAGCCTAACTGTATATTACCCTAAATGTTGTGTTATTTATTCTGCCTTTATTGTGGGGAAATTGTTTTATATTATTCCATCCTTGCTATTTTGTGGATTTAAGGCCTTAATCTACAGATTTGAAAGAATACAGATCAAATTTGCTGCTATCCATGCAATAGAAAATAAAAGAGAAATTTAGAAAAGCTGAAATATGTTCAGCTTATCTGAGATACAACAGGTCTAGAAATCTAAATAAGCCTTTTCCCTGCAAAAGTAAAAAAATATTTTTAATCAAAGAAAATTACTCAGCAAAATCTTTCAATGTTTGTAATAGAAACATGGCTAGATGAAAAAAATAAAAATAACCACACCTCCCATATACAATTTCCTCCATCAGAACAGACTAGGGGGAGACCTTTTACTCTGTTTAATGATTCATTACTGTATAGAAAAGTCATCCTAGGTGACTGAATGTCTTGACTATCCAGCTATCCAACTACAGTACAGTACCCCGTTCAAGCCTTGTTTCAGAATGTTTATAGGCCTCCAAAGTCCAAAATAGATTTTTTTTTTATGATTTCAATATACTTTTATCTGTGATATGTATTGGGCATGACTACTTTTTTTGTACATGTTGACAACCCTGAAGACAAAGTTGCCAAAGCATTGTGTGATATGCTTAAAAGTTTTGGTTTAAAGCAAAATACTGTATTAAACTCAACTTGCCAACTTTGGACTTGATCATCAGTAAAGGTCTAAATGTTTCTAATGTTTCTGTAACTGATGTTGCCCTATCAGACCCTTTTACTGGTTACTTTGAAACAATTTTAATTTCCAACTGTTCTAATTACCAAAAGACATGTTAGAAGAAAGCTTGTTATCATGGACAGTACATTTCACACCTTTACCCAGGCTTATTCTTATTCCACTTTACCCTGTAGCTCATTAGATTAGCTGGTTTTTATTCTTAAATTGCAGACATCTTTGATTCCATTGCTCCAGTTAAGGCCTGAACACACCAGTTGTGTACAATTTTTTAATCTCCAATCCAATTTTTTTAAGTCACAATGGCTGTCTATAGAGGCTCTGACTGTGCAGGGTGGCCAGATCAGTGCAGATTTTTTTTTTTTTTTCACTTCTGTCTCTGTGCAACACAAAACAATTTCCCACATTTGACTTGGACAGATTATGAAAAGGTATTAAAATGAATAACAAACAAACAAAAAAAAAACACCTGCACAGCTATAAAGCAAAGCTTCACTTAATGAGTCTGTGCAGCATCTCAAACCAGAACAGATAGAGAATTTTTATAGGCCTATATTAAAAACATAATGGGAACTATGTTTAAAGAAAAGTAAAACGCAGCAATAAACGCTGTGGGATGTTTCATATGCTTGCTGAGGCATTGAGCTCAGAGAGAAATCTGGGAAGTTTGAGTTTTTCCTTCACTTCTTATCATAAAAAGTGGTGTGTATATATATATAAAGTAAGATCATTAAAGCTTTTAAGAGTGAGTAACTATTGTGTAAAAAAGTAGGAATGCATTGTAAAATTAACAAAATATCATTAGCGCTAATCACTTTTTAATATTTGTTTTTTTTGTTACAGTTTTTGTTTATATTTCTTTAGTCTAAATATAGATAGCTGGTTTGAAAACATTTATATCTTTGATTTAAGGTATGTTTACAGAGGGAAAATCTGCGCTTCTTCTGACGTCTATTTTTCTGTATAAATATCTATTAGCTTCTGTGTAAATGGCCCGATAATTCTAAAGAGAGTTCAAGGTCCAGAAAGAGCATTGCCTTTGTCATTTTTTTTAAACTGAAGCTTTTTCAAGATGAAAGAACTTACCTCAGACTTTATTATTGTTAGCAATTTCCCTTTTTATCATTTTATTTTATTTTTATGAGCAAATTTAAAAAGAAACTCCTCCCCGACCACCTCTGGTACTGTTCCTGCAAGTCAAAACAAGAATACCCTTAAGTATGTTCCGTTTTTATGCTAAGCCAGACCCATTGAGCCACTTAGCTGAGAGGTTTTCTAGGCACTCATGGGCTGCAAGTGTTTTTGGGCTTCTTAATTTAGTCATATTTCTTGGTATGGAAAGGTCTGTATATCTATTCTTCACTGTTAATATAGTCTCTGATTTAATACATTAGATCACTTTTTTCCTGAGTTATATTTTTTTTTCTTATTATGATACATCATCTAAAATAAAAAGATGCAAATATAAGACTGTATTGTGTCCAACAAAACTTCTGTGCTATCCTTTTAAAACAGGTATCCGATATTTTTGTCACTGCCCTAAACCAAGGCCTGATCCAGTTCGAACTAAAGGCAAATATCCGCATTATTGTGTACATGACTCAGCAAACATTGGGTAAGTCTTTCTGGAACATAAGCTAATCTAATAATTTCTACAACTCTGCAGCTATTGTTTTTTTTTTTTAGCAGGTGGATAAAAAAAATACTAGGTTGTGTCTATAGTTTTATAGTTTCACAAGTTTATCCACTTTCTATGAACTATTTGACCCCAGATTTTATCTAGAGTACAACAACCTTAAGTACAGTAACATTATTTAAGTTTCAGATTCTCTTTTTTTTTTTTTTTTTACCTGAAGCTGCGTTACAGTAGCTCTGTTTGAAACCGGTCAATCGATTAGGTGACTGACAAGGAGGGCATTTGGTATGCACTGAGGAAATCTGCAGGGTCACCAGGTCATTAGCATATTGCACAAATGTGTCGATCAGCTCTGCGTGGCTTTACCCTTTTCATCCACCGATGGATCTGTCTTCATTTGTGTCTGCATACAAAGGTCTGGGTTGCCTTTAAAATGATCCTGAAAGGTCAAACACTTCATAGTCTTCTCTCAGAGGGAGAGAAAGATGGGTGGTGAGGAGTAATGCTTTGAATATTGCATCTCAGAATGCATAGGCTGCTATGTCATGAAAAACCTCTGGGACTGCCTGTGGACACCCAAAGGTTTCTTTTACACTTTAAGGGAATAACACCCACAGTCCATTTTTTTTAAACGGACTATGTGTGTCAGGTTCAATTAGGTTATTTTTCTGGAAGACAATCTAATGGAAAATGTAAAATCTTATGAAGCAATAAGTGGTTTATTTTGTTAATCTCCTTTTTTATCTATCAGGCTTGTGGACAACAATAGCGTGATTTATTTATATAGCTAAAATGGAAAAATATTTTAGGTTAAGACAAAATGTCTGAATGCAGTGACCCTGAAACAAACAAAACACAAAATACGGGTGACATTCAGAAAGACGACGTTTTCAGCATTGTTTAACAGATGTTTTGTATTTTCTAAAACCACATACAACAAATATTTCACTCTGCAAACGAAAAAAAAATTATTTAAAACATTTTTAACAGCTCTCATTCTCACAAACAACCCCTTGGATCACCTCGAGTGTCGGCTTGTTCACTTTTTGTCATACGTTTATTGCACCCTTCTGAAACATATGCCACCTTGAAATCCAATATGCTACTTATTTCTTGTGTTTTGGAAAGATTTTTTTTTTTTGCCAAACAGTTACTTTAACATTATGATATGCAGTAAAAATGCAAAGGACAATAGTGAGCTGCTGTATGTTTGTTACATTTTAAGCTTTCAGTATTTACAAGTTTAATGATTATTGACTGAATATATCTGCAATCTAATATAAATATCTGATTCTCAATGTTCTTCTTCTTTCAGCACCACTAGTTGATTCAAACTCAATTCATAGTGGGTCTGCAATGCTTATGCTCATCAGCGTGGTCTTTGTTGGTATAGCTGCATTTTTCATCTACAAATTCAAAAGGTTTGTGCAACTACAAACAAAACTATGCTGACTTTAATTGCATTTTCAATAAAAAGCCCATAAACAGCTTTGCTGGTATGTTGTCTCTTTCAGGAAAATCCCTTGGATCCATGTGGAGACTGAGGACCGCCATGAGAAGGATCCAGAGGTGATAAGCACAGTAGGTCAAAACGATGCCATGTCCAAGGTCAAGCTAAGCGAATTTCCGTCTCAGAAAGAACTCATGGAAAAAGAGCTGGAAGGCAGAAGCAGAGGTAATCACTTTTAAAACACCATTATTTGCTGTTTCTTGCAGCAGCCTGTATTTAGACAGAGGAAACAGTATGAGATTTGCTTTGCCTTACATTAAGTTTCTTTGCGTGGTAATATATCTTTATATATAAAATATATATATTTTTAAGGGGATGTATTGCTTTTAAATTTTACCCAAAAAAGCAATACTCTAAAAAGGTATATCACATATTAAGTAATAAAAGCTAATTTCCACATATCCTAAACATGTTTTATAGCTATATTGTAGGATCTGGGGTGTAAAGACTGTTATTTAGTTGCTGTCTTTTTTGACAAATTAAATACAGACTAATAATATCTGCAAAGTACTGTGAACCATTAATCCATTAAAACAGGATTTAAAGGATGACTGTCACTGTAAGAGACTGATAGTGATTAGCATTTTATTGCCCCAAAAATACACTGCTTAGCATTTGAATGCATTTTAACAGCATTTGGTGAAGCCTGAAGCAGCTCTATTGTATCAGTCTTACTTTAATGGCTCCTCTTTGAGTGATTCCAGCTTGTGCTGCATTGAAGTGCAGCACACGTCCGAGGAGCTGGAACATCTTTATCATTGTAGTATGTCATATTTTTGCAAATTGCCCCCATAGAGCACAACCACAGCATCTGCACAGGACCCAGATATCACTGTGACAAGTTCACTTTTTGATTGGTTTGTGTGACATCTTCTGTAAAGCCTTTAAGTTGGCAACCACTCAGCCCCGGCACACAGTGTGGACCGTTTGACAAAAGTAGCACTGCAGTGCTTCTGACACGGACATGGGGGCTGCAGGCCTTTTTTTTTTGACCACTCAGCACTTTGCTGTTCTTCATTTCTCAGCTGTTTCTACCTTTTCTAGTCTTTGCTGATCTGAGACAAATTAGCTCATTTTAGGGTCACTAACAAATGTGTTTATTTGCCAAAGAGCAGTAGAGCATTGAACCTCTTGGTCTTAGAAATGGCGGATCAAATCAAAAGCACACTTTAGTTTATTTATAATCTTTAATTATTTTTTATCAACTTGGTGCCAGTTTCTTTTTTACCTGGTCTTGGATAAAATACAAATGTCCGTACAAGTCATACCAAACTAATATTATATATCTTTATAAAGTAGTTGATTTATACATTTTGTATTTTTGAAAGTGATGATATTTTGGACTATTTTAATTTCTGAGATCCCCTAGCCCCTTAGGCTGGTTAAAACCTGGTATTAACATGCACCCTACCTTATTCTGATCAAATTAGATCTTACCAAGCCTCTGAATTCACACATGTCATTTAAATCTCTCTGAATATATCAGATCCTCATTTTAAATGTAAATATTTTGATGTTTATGTCACAGAAAACACTTTCAGTAATGCAACTATACGGAAACTCAACACTCTGTTGATGTTTTCCTGATGTCAACAATAATTTCATCCACATCATTGGTCTAAGTAATACTGTGAATAACTCAGTTCAGTTTGACCAAAATCAGATTTTTGTGATTTTCTTGGATGCAAAACCCTTGATAATCTTAAATATGCAGGTTAAATGTCACACTAAAAATGAATAAAAATAATAAAGCCAAAAAAGAATAAATAGATTGAAACAATAAATGCAATACCTTACTTGAGAGAATTCAGTGTCAGCACACAGATACTAAAGATTTGACCAGTAAAAACTCCACCAAATTAAAACTGCTTTGTGGCTCTTTAGCAACATTACACATCTGTCTTTCTTGCAGACATGCAGTAATTAACTAGGTAAATAAGCTAACACAACAAATAGAGTTAAATCACCTTTAAATTGGAATTAGTGCTGGGTATCGATTTGAAAATCAAGAATCAATTTAATTACCATTCTCAACATTTAGAAACTCTTCCCATTTGTTTTGTTTCAGTTTGATCTCAAATTGGACTGGCAGCATTAAAACCATTTTTTTAGCTGTTCCCTGAATTTAAGCTTAAGCGAAAATTCAAGCTGGAAGACTAAGCTTAACCTGCAATGTCCCTTATTCAACTCCAGCCAATCAACTTGGGGGCCTCACCTTCTCTGAAGCCACTCATCTTTCAAAATCCCCTTCATTTAGCTCATGGTCTAGCTTCTCTCTCCCTCACGCAAGCAAACTTCACCCATCTCTAACCCATATCCTCCCTTATTTTTAGGTCCTACTCATTTTTGGTACTGTATATCAACTTATCTTTTGGAATTATTAATATTTGCTCCAGAATTGGAAAATCACTTCTTTTAACACAGCTCTAGTTCAAACAATGCCTCAGATACCTGTTTAAACATTTAAATCTTCTTAAAAAAAAAAAAAGATTTTATATTCTATATGTCTTGGGGGAGAGAAATTCATGTAATAATAACTCATGCTTGAGGAGAGCCATGTCACATTAGAGTATGGTTCTTTGTTGTTGTTCAGGAATGATTGCTTTCAGACTGTATTTATTCAATAAATTGTGCTGTTCAAAATGGAGTGTGTATGACGTCATCCACACGCACCGGCTACCAGTCATTCATCCTGTCCACTGGACTGCTGCTAGTTTTACTCACATGCCTGGAATATGTCTAGTGCTACTACCACAGATGATCTCACTCCCGAAATGGAATTGAACGATTCAGATTAGCTAGCCGAATGAATAGAAGGGGTAGAGTGTATCCGCCTGTGGCCCGAGCTGCCTGTCACAACTCCAGTCTGGTGCGCGGATGACGTCATACACACCGCTTTGTTTTAAAAAAATATCAAAAATATAACCACGGATGTCTAAGGGGACAGTAATTCACCTGCATGTTATGAATGCTGGCGTACATTATGAACAGTTTAGTTTGTGCCTTCAACTGCCCATAGGAAGACGTTACTTTGATTACAAAACCGAATATCTTCGGAACAGCTCCAAATGACACAAAACTAATATGGGTGAGTAGAACATGATGTAATAACGTAAAATCAAGGGGCCAATGTAAAAAAAACGATGTTCCTCTTTAAGCAAATAATTATGTGGCTCTGCTAATCACCAGTTAGACAAGATTATCAATCCATTTTTTTTTTTATTCTGATTGGATATTGTGCTAGCGCCAAACAAAAATGGGGGGAAAAAATTGCTTTGCAAGCCCCGTGCCTCATAAAGGAGGACAAATAGACGTCTGGCTGGATGCTGCTGCAGACGCTGGACAGTGCAATGAAAATCCGGACTATCTGGCCTAAAGCCGGACATCTGGTCACCCTATCTGAAGGAATATTTTTAAAGCAATTTTCATGTGCTCAGAATTGTATTCAATTTCTCTCTGGACAGGATCAGATTACCCATGGCCAAAATATGTGCCCATGTGTTTCCTCATTTCACTCCAAATGACTTTACAAGCTACAGCTGTGAGCTCTTGATAGCTGTCACAGTGAAGTTTGGAGAAATATTGGCTTTATTGTATTAAGTTGTAATGAAATTAGAGTAAAACTTATGATTTATATTATGTTGATGCAAAATGTCCAAAATCACAGCTCAGCAGGAATATTAGTATAACATTATTTTCAAATAAAAAGTCAAAAAGCCTAAGACTTTTTCATTATCCTGTGGCTCTTTATTTGAGGGAAATCCTTTTCTGCTAAAGGTGACATAGCCTGCTGTTGGGTACCAAAGAGAAAATAAAGCAAAAGAGGAAAACTTATCTGTCAGGTGTACCAAAGAGTCTTGCTTATTTGCATAAGAGAACAATACTGTACATCAAAGCTGCCAGATGCTGAAGCTGGTGTTTCATTTGGTGCTTGTGATTTGGCATTCCTTTGAAGGGATACTTCTGTTTTTCACTGAATATGCATTATAGTGATAATCTGCTGTGTTAAAATCTGGATATTAGAGTAATACTTGGACAAGTCAGATTGCAACTGGATTAATCTACAATCATGGCCAAAAGTTTTGAGAATAATTCAAATGTTAATATATAAAGTCTACTGCTTTTATTTTTTATAAATGCAATTTGCATATACTCCAGAATGTTATAAAGAGTGATCAGTGTAACAACTATTAATTGCAAAGTCAATATTTGCCTAGAAAATGAACCCAAAACACATTTCAACGTCATTGCAGCGCTGCCTTAAAAGGACCAGCTACTGTAACATTGTTTCAGTGATTGCTCCATTAACACAGGTGTGGCTGGTGATGAGGACAGGGCTGGAGATCAATCTGTCACGATTAGGTAAGAATGACACCACTGGACACTTTAAAAAGAGGCTGGTGCTTGGCATCATTGTTTCTCTTCTGTAAACCATGGTTATCTCTAAAGAATCGCATGCAGTCATCATTGCACTGCACAAAAATGGCCTAACAGGAAAGAGAATCGCAGCTAGAAAGATTGCACCTCAGTCAACAATCTTTCGTATCATCAAGAACTTCAAGGAGAGAGGTTCCATTGTTGCCAAAAAGGCTCAGGGGCGCCCAAGAAAGACCAGCAAGTGCCAGGACCGTCTCTTAAAAGTGTTTCAGCTGCAGGATCGGGCTACCAGCAGTGCAGAGTTTGCTCAGGAATGGAAGCAGGCAGGTGTGAGTGCGTCTGCACGCACTGTGAGGCGGAGACTCTTGGAGCAAGGCCTGGTCTCAAGGAGGGCAGCAAAGAAGCCACTTCTCTCCAGGAAAAACATCAGGGACAGACTGATATTCTGCAAAAGGTACAGGGAGTGGACTGCTAAGGACTGGGGTAAATTCATTTTCTCTGATGAATCCCCTTTCCAATTGTTTGGGACATCTGGAAAACAGCTTGTTCGGAGAAGACGAGGTGAGCGCTACCACCATTCTTGTTTCATGCCAACTGTAAAGCATCCTGAAACCATTCATGTGTGGGGTTGCTTCTCAGCCAAGGGAGTCGGCTCTCTCACAGTCTTACCTAAAAACACAGCCATGAAAAAAGAATGGTACCAGAATGTCCTCCGAGAGCCACTTCTCCCAACCGTCCAAGAGCAGTTTGGTGATGAACAATGCCTTTTCCAGCATGATGGAGCACCT